TTGAGGGCGGGGAGGGGGGGGGGGGAGGTACCGTCGTAGTGCCGCTGATCGCTCGTCTGTAGGTTGGGCCCCGACGTGTGCATCGTGCTGCGCCTGTCCGCACCGCTGAAGGAGCGATACGCGCAGGTACGGCTGTGCCACGTGGGGCCGGGCCGCGTCCGCTGCGGGCTGCTGCATCCACCGTGCCGCGCCGCTGCCGTGATCTGCCGTGCCGTGATCTGCCGTGCTGTGCCGTGTTCTGTGCCATGCTGTGCCGTGCCACGATCTACCAAGCTTTGCTATGTTCTGTGTCATATCATGCCATGATCTGCTGTGCTGTGCTGTGTTGAGCTCTGCTGCACCGATCTGCCATGCTGTGCCATGCCATGATCTCCCATGCTCTGCTACGTTCTGTGCCATGCTGTGCCGTGCCGTGATGTACCATGCTATGCTGTGCTATGCAATGCCACGTCATGATCTACCACGCTGTATGGAGTTCTGTGCCATGCCCTGTGCCGTGCCACGCTGTGCCATGATCTGTTGTGCCATGCTGTGCCATGCCATGGTCTCCCATGCTGCACTGTGCCATGCCATGACCTCCCATGCTCTCCTATGTTCTGTGCCATGCTGTGCTGTGCCATGATCTCCCATGCTGTACTGCACCATGCCATGATCTCCTGCGCTGTGCCATGCCATGCCATGGTCTCCCATGCTCTGCTATGTTGTTCTGTGCCATGCTGTGCCATGCCACACCATGGTCTCCCATGCTCTGCTGTGTTGTGCTTTGCCATGCTGTGCTGTGCCATGATCTCCCATGCTGTGCCATGCCATGGTCTCCCATGCTCTCCTATGTTCTGTGCCATGCTGTGCTGTGTCATGATCTCCCATGCTGTACTGTGCCATGCCATGATCTCCCATGCTCTGCTATGTTCTGTGCCATGCTGTGCTGTGCCATGATCTCCCATGCTCTGCTATGTTCTGTGCCATGCTGTGCCGTGCCATGCCATGGCCTCCCATGCTCTGCTGTGTTGTGCTTTGCCATGCTGTGCTGTGCCATGATCTCCCATGCTGTGCCATGCCATGACCTCCCATGCTCTGCTATGTTCTGTGCCATGCTGTGCTGTGCCATGCCACGATCTCCTGCACTGTGCCATGCCATGGTCTCCCATGCTCTGCTATGTTCTGTGCCATACCACACCATGGTCTCCCATGCTCTGCTATGTTATGCTGTGCCATGCTGTGCCGTGCCACGCCATGGCCTCCCATGCTCTGCTATGTTGTGCCATGCCAAGCCATGTCACACTGTGTGCCCCACACCGTTCCCTACCCCACACCGTTGCCTGCGCCCCTCTCAAACCCTCTCCCTTCAGGAGCACGGCCTGGATTTCCAGCGGCTCCTGGATGCCAGCGCCTACAAGGAGCAGTACCGGCAGGACATGATCCGCTGGGGCGAGGAGAAGCGCCGCGCCGACCCCGGGTTCTTCTGCCGCACCGCGGTGCAGGGCGCAGCACAGCCGGTGTGGGTGAGCAGGGATGGGCATGGGGGGCTCAGGGAAGGGGGGGGGGGGGGGGGGGCGGGGGGGGGGCCAGGGGGGAAA